GTGAGTAGCCACTTAAGATTGTTATCACTATGTTTTTATTATCCTCTTGTCTGATTTCTGTTGTTGTTGTTTTTTTTCATCCTCTGATTTTTGTTTTAGGAGATAGATATATGGCTTCGTGTCTTTGTTGCCAATCCTAGAAGGATTTCGAACTTGAAGTCTACCTAATGCTATTTTCCTTTTTCCTCCTCACTTGAGGGTATCGTCAGGTTCCACGTTTGGTTTTCTCTTGTTCGTCTTTTTTATATACTTTTATGTATTTCTGTTGAGATAATTTGAATGCTTAAAACTTTTTGTTTGTCATATTTTTTCGTCCAACTTTTGTTTTAGGGCGTTTCTTACTTCTGATTTGCCTATCATTTTCTACATTTTATTTTGTACCATTTTTCTTATTCCTCCCTTTAGCGCTTCTTTTCTCTCGCTTTCTGTTTCTCTCAGTCCTTCCTTCATTCTCTCTTCCTCTCATTCCCTTATTCCTTTATTTAACCTCTTATCTCTCACTTATATTTTTTTTTCTTCCTCCATCTCTGATGGTTTTCTTTTCTCTTACTTATAATGTTTCTGCAATTTCCCTCTTTCTCTCGATCCCAGGTTGTTTCTCCTTCTCTCTCAGTCCTCCTTTTCTTCTCTCCTTCCCTACTTCAAACCATCATCCATTCCGTTCTTCCACTCTTCTACTCCTATTCCACTTCACACTCCCAGTCTTCCCCTCCTTCCCTTCTCCACTCCTCTCTCTCCTCCCCTCCGTTCCCTTCCACACCTCCACTTCTCCACCCCTCCACTCTCCCAGTATTCCCCTCCTTCCCTCCTCCCCTCCTCACTCCCACTCCTCCACTCCCCTTCTCCTCCCCTCCCCTCCTCCCCCCCTTTCTCTCCTTCCATCTTATCTTCCCTTCCTTCTAAATATTCTTTCGACAAGTGAACACTGTGAATAAGCCTTTTCATTTCTGGCCTTTGATATCTCCGCATCTCATTTCTGCGCTTTGTTATCTTCTCTTCTTCCACCTCCTCTGTTCTTCACTCTCGGGACTCTGGCAAATGTTTTTTTTTTTTTTTTTTTTGATCGCTTGCCTCGGGGGATTCTGGGTTTTATTTATTGTTATCCTCCCTTTGTTTTAATATACGCATCGTTTGATTGTTTTATTTATGAATTGTTTATTATATCATTTACTTCTTTGTTTTTCATTATTCATTTCTCCGCTTCTTTCTGGCTTAATTTTATGGTTCGCGTTATTCCACTGTAGAAGAAATGGATATCTTCTGAACTTAAAAAAGACAAGCTGGTAACGACAGTACAGTCAACACAGCAGTTTGCTTGAAGCTGAAGCAAGTGGTTTCCCTTGAAAGTAATTTCAGTTCGCTTCTATAAGTTTCCTCTCTCTCTTAATGAAAAAAGAAGAGTATATGCAGGGTGTACATATATACAGTTTATATATATATATATATATATATATATATATATATATATATATATATATATATATATATATATATATATATATATATATATATATATATATATATATGTATGTATGTATGTATGTGTGTATATATATATGTATATATGTATATATGTATATATATATATATATATATATATATATATATATATATATATATATATATATATATATATATATATATATATATATATATATATGTACATATATATATGCAAATATATACATACATACATATATTTACACCCACCCACACAGATATATATATATATATATATATATATATATATATATATATATATATATATATATATATATATATATATATGTGTGTGTGTGTGTGTGTGTGTGTGTGTGTGTGTGTGTGTGTGTGTGAGTGTGTGTGTGTGTGTGTGTGTATATATATATACATATATATATATATATATATATATATATATATATATATATATATATATATATATACATATATATATATATATATATATATATATATATATATATATATATTTATACACCACACACACACACACACACACACAAATATATATATATATATATATATATATATATATATATATATATATATATATATATATATATATATACATATATATATATACATATATGTATATATATATATATATATATATATATATATATATATATATATATATATATATATTTACATATATATGTATATATATATGTATTAATATGTACATATATTCATTTGTTCATTTATTTATAGATATATACATATACACACACATGTATGTGTGTGTATTTGTGTATGTATTTATATGACTCCTCTTCTTTCATGTATTCATGATTATACCTGTATCTCTGACACATGCAGAATATCTACGGTGTTTGCCCGCCATATTTAACATCCTCTTTCACACGTACAAGTCGAGGCAGACGCGCGTGCAGTCACGCGATCGGGCAAACACTCCCGTCGTTTTATTCATGAGCTAGGGGCGCAGAAGGATCCTGGGAGAAAATCCAATCAGGTGTGCTTGCCCTTGGGTTATTACGAC